GCCCCCCCCCCCCCCCCCCCCGCCGCGGCCGGAGGGACCCCGGGCCCTGCCGCCCTGTGAGGGGGTGGCGGGTCGCGCCCAGCCCAACGGGGAGCACGGCGGGCTGAGGGCGGCTGCGGGGGACGAGGCGGCGGGGGGAGCCCGCCGGCGAACTGCCCTGGAGGCGAGGCGGATGCTGGTTCTATCCATTTCTAAGGGAACCGGCTACCGGCCTTGCGAGCATTTCATTTCGGAGCCACACAGGACCCTCCGTAGGTTTCATTTCTGTGAGCAGATTGCTTCTCTCGCCGGTTACCGAGATAGGCCCGGGTGAGGTGGCTGTCACCACGAGCAGGGTTCCCGCTGCCTCGTCCCTGTTTTGTGTCGGAAGGGGCTCTCCTCTCTGCTTGCCGAGATCCTCGTGGCAAGTACGGTTGACTTTCTGTCCACTTAGGCCTTCAGCCGCCCTCAGGAACAGAGCCCTACCCGCATGTAGACCGTTCAAGAGCTGCAGTCTTGCTGCAGTAACTTCCACCCTCCGGGTGCTTGTAGGCACTTGTATCGCCCTGCTTCTCGTCTGGTTTTTTGGATGGCATTTTGCAAAGCTTTACCATCCGTGTTTAGTTGTTACTCTTTCTTCAAAAGTCAGTTCTTTTACCATTAACAAATATAAATAATCACAAATACTCACTATAAGCAAATGAAGGTAAATTATGTGCATAAAGTTTTAGCTGGAGTGCCCAGTATTTCGAAATAAAAGCTGCCTGAGGAACAGAAGTCTGCCTGGAACAGTTATGTTCTCCCCTTATGTATCTGTCTATGATTACGTGCGCTGACTAGCGTCTAGTCAAACAATCAGACCAAAACAAGCACCTAATCAAAGTCCAAAGTACACTTTAATCAGTAAAATCCCACTGGCCCAACCAAAACCTGAAGACTGGCAACTGTAATCGGCAGGCCCTTCAGAACCAGAGACAGCGTAATATTAACGTATTTACGGCACAACTGAGCAGGGGTTCTGGAAGAACCTTCAAATGCCACAGACACGGCATGGTTCACGACTGGAGGGGCTTCAAGCAGGGATATGATAGTAGCAGCGCAGTAGTTTTTAAGTCACCTAACCAGAAAAAAGCACTAGATTATTAAATGATTGTACACATACCAACCTTGCCTCAGATGCCCAAATTGCTAGTTAGTGGAAACCTTTAATTACAGAGCTACAGTGATTGACACAAAGATTAGGGCAACGATTGGCAATCCATATGCAGATGTGGTACAGAATGTTTTTCTATGCAGTTTAAAGGGGAACAAAAAGGATAGATTTAGGAGATATGGTAAGCAACAAAGAAGACTAAGCAGAATAGAAGATGTAAGCGGGATATTGGGAAACACCAGTATAAGGTTAGGGATGTAATGAAAGCTCAACTGGAGCAGAACTCCTTATGTTTTTATGGTCGTTGACCATTACAGACAAAATATACTCAACAGAAAGAAACAGCATTTTCCATGCAACAGAATGACAGGAAAACTGCACCGTTTCACTCCTTGACGTTGAACAGGATAAATTACGTGTAGATCTCTGTGAGTGTGCAACAAAATGAAGCAACCAGACACTGAGGACTGCATACAGTTACAGACTGCATTCCCAACACGCAGGAGCTGGGAATTTCCTGTATGAGAAAGCTGAAACAACTCTTCCTGATATACAGACCAGCCAGAAAAGCTGAGCAAAGTACCCGAGTATGGTGCTCGAGCTGTTGTTTTCAGTCTCACGCTACAACAGGAGCAGTAATTTAACTCCAGCCTTGCCACACAGGCAGGTTTCATACCAAGTAACCTAAATTGCCAGGCTGTCAGGACACTGCGTTGTTTTTGAACACTGGTGTTGTGTGTACCTACGAGTTACCGATTTTTACTGGCTACGCTTTTCCAACGGTGGTCCCCAATTCCTTCATGCTATTTTGAACACTGGCTGACCCCCCACGCTACACTCCAGGTAAGGCTAACACAACCAAAACAGAGCTAATGATACGCTAACTGGATTTCTGCATTTTCCAACCAAAATACCATTTGTTGGCATGTATTCTTGGCTTAGCATTCACCCATAAAATGTTTATTTTACAGCTTATGAAGGACTATGACAGCTACGTAGTTTTAATATAGAAAATATCTTGATAGGACCCCAATTAAAAAAAAAATCTCAGCTAATGTTTATGTTTCTGCCCTGGTGTTTTCATCCCAGAAACATCAACAGTTACATGGCCCAAAGACCCTATTTTTTCAAACCGAGTACACACAAGTTAATGTACCATTTCCCAAGATCTTTTTTTTTTTTTAATGTAATTCTTTTCTTTAGCAAAGACAATTTGAAAAGACAATTTTAAACTCAAAAACCCTTTACACTTTTAAGGGGTCCTTCCACCTACAGGCCAAGGCTCCCAGGATTAAACCCCCCCCCCCCCCCCCGGTAGCACAAGCCCCCCCGTTGCCGGACAGACAGCACAGGCCTGCACCCCGGTTACCGCAGCCCCGGGGCCGTCCTGTCAGGAGAGCTGCTGCCTCAGGAGTTCACAGCAGCGCCGGACACACGCTAGTTGGTTTTTTTTTCCCTTTTTCCCCTTTTTTTTCAGCAGGGAGCCTTACGAACAGGCACCCGCAGGACCCCAGCCCCCAGCGCTGCACCCTGCCCAGCCGCTCACGCTGGAAGCGGCCGCTGCGCTACGAACATGGCGGTGCGACCGACCACCTGGGCCCTTCCCGTTCTGCCCCCCCCGGGGGGGGGGGACACGACCCTGTTGGCCGTGGGAACCGACACCCCGCCGAGGGCCGACCTCGGCACCGACGGCAAACAGGGCTGAAGTAACGGCGGGGCTGAGGGCTCCTCCCTGCCGGCAGCCCGGTGGGGCTGAGGAGGGGCCCGCACGGCGGCGAGCGGGGAGCGGCGGCCGCGACCGATCGCTCCCGCCGTCACGCGGAGCCGGGGCGGGAGGCGGAGGGGGCGAGAGCCGCGCGAGGGCCGTCACGTGAGCGCGCGGG